CTGGCAGAGGTGTTGTGATGAAAGGGCCTGTCTAGGGGTCGTGATGCCTCCTGGATGGCTTCATCTCCAGGGAACTGGAGGCAGGAAGAGGAAGCCAGGCAGGAAGGTAGTGCTGAGCTCTATGCCTATGCCAGGAAACTGAGGGAGGCTCTGAGAATGGGATAGAGCACAGAGCCCACTTCCTAGCGTGCAGGGCAAGGGATCAGGCAGGGCTAGAGGTAGGCTTCCAGCTGACCCTTAGCATTTCGGGAGAAGAAGAAATTCCTGAAATGAAGACTGAGGCCAGGACGATTTACTGGGGAGTACTGGAAAACTCTGGGACTTTCACAGGTTCATTTGAGGCAAATAGTGGATCAGGGCCCGGGGAGGGTACATTGATCTTTCTCTCCCCCACCCATCTCCTAGCTCCAGTCCTCTGTTCTTTCACTCCTGCCCCTTTCTCTGCCCCCAGCTCTTTCTCTCCCTTATTCCCAAACCCCTTCCCTACCAGATCCTTCTTCCTTTCCCTTCTCTAATTCATTCAATCAGCAAATATTTCTTGGGCATTTCCTTTGTGCCAGACATGGTGACGGGTATTGGGGATAGAGTAGGAACAAAATAGTGTTGGGAAAGATGGAAATTGAATGGGTAACAACTTGAATTCATTCATCGTAGATGGTCCTCTCTCATGTACTGTCCAAAGAATTTGGGCTTTGACCTCCTTCATATGCACACCAGTTGAGTTGGCAGCATCAAAAGGTCTAATGGGTTTTTAGCCAGCCAGCTAAAAAGGATTTGACTTCCTTTTTGCCTGCATTCAGTTTAGCACAGGGGTTAAGAATGTGACCCTTGGCGTCTATGTTGGTTCAACTCTCAGGTCTTCTACTCAGTGGCTCTGTGAACTTGCATGGGTGATTTAACCCCTCTGAGCCTCACTTTCTTTTAAAACTGGGATAATAGTACTATCCTCAATGGATTGATGTGAGGATTAAATGAGATAAAGTGAACAGACAGCTGGCAGCACAGTGCTTAGCTCAGACTATGTGCCCATTGAACGGTGGCTGTTATTACTGTCATGATATTAATATAAAACCTCAATAGCCTGCAGCGCCTGATGGAAATAAACTAGATACAGTTTCTCAAAGGCCCACGTTAAGTTCTATCTTTAGGTTAAAAATAATTAAGGACACAAGTTTGCCACAAGGAAGACCTTGCTTGGCTGAGTATTTTGTAAGAATATCTAAGAGGTTTTATTGACCACAAGTTGTGTAGTTCTTGAGATCTGACTGCAAAAAACAAAAACAAAAACAAAACAAAACTAGGGAAATGGACTAGAGCAATAATAATAGCTGTTATTTATTTAGCATCTAGTGTGTGTCAGGCATTGTACTAAGCACTTTATAATATGTCGTATGTCTTATCTAACATTATGGTAGATATTATTATGGTCACCACTTTACAGATGAGAAAGTGGTGGGTCAGAAAGACCATGTCCTCAGTCTTCAGTCACTCAATTGGTGAGTGGCAGAGGCAGGATTTGAAGGAACCCAGGGCTGCAAAGCAGTTGATACACCTGATCACTGCCCAGGTCCGCCTGACCGCAGGAATATGGTTTCTTAGCCACTAACCAAGAGAGAGGGGAGAGAGGAGAGTTAGGGAGGTTTCTGAAAGCTTTGTTTTCAGAGGAACCAAGGAGATTTGGCCTGGGAAAGCTTGAGGGGACATTTGAGCATCAAAGGAGGGATATAATGTACAGGGGGTGACTGTCTGTCAGAAACATTTCCTACATAACTACCACCCTCTGTTTGCCAACTATGCTGCTGCTCCCCTCTCCCCCTGGCTCACAACCTGAAGCCCTGCAGGCTCCTGGCAGGGCTCAGAAAGGCTTCTCAGCCACCCATCCTCTCTACACTCTCTGCTCCCCCCAGCCTGGTGCACATCTCCTCACACCCTTGCTGATGGCACTTCTTCACCAGAGAGGCTGGCCTCTCTGCCCTAAGCTTTCCCACTTTCATCCATGCCAACCTACCACCAACAAAGAGATTATTCTGAAGCACCTCTCTGGTGTCCCCCTTGGCTCAGAAACCTATGCTAGCTCTTGCTCTGTCCCTCCCTCCAAGTAAACTTCCTCTTCTTGACTTTTATGGCTTTCTACAGCCCATCCTGTCCCTCCACCCTGACCCTCTGCCTGGTCGTCACTGTTTCAAGTGTGTCCTTGTCTATGCCTGGAATGCCCCAGCTCCATCCCATCCTTCAAGGGCTCACCCCACCCTGTCTATGGTGGTTCTCAAAAATCACCTCTGTGCACACTATTTGTATCTCCCAGTGTAACTCTTTACTCTTCTCTAATTGTATCATATAGATCTCTATAGTCATCTTCTTAAGAACAGGTACATTTCATTCAGGAAATGCTTTCCACTCGGCCACTGTGTACTGGGCACTAGGCAGAGTTCAATGTGGCAGCAGGCAGCATGGCCTTGCCCTCTGGTCGCTACTTTCTTCCACATCCCATAGTTCTTTATTTCCCTCTGTGCCAGTAGAGACCTGTGCATACAGTGTCATTTTTCCTCTGGTTGGATGGGACCCAGGAGGGCCAGAGACTTGAGCCTGAGGCCTCTGTGTTTCTTGGAGTAAATGTGTTCTTTTAGGCCTGGGCCCACCTTGGCTCCAGACAGGGCTTGGCTTCCAGTGGGGGAAGGAGGCTGTAGATTACAGTGGGAGGCACAGCCACCTCTCCTGGAAAACGTCACCTCATGTTGGAGAATATGATAACAACTGTAGTATTCAGAGCAGAAAAAATAATACCGAACCTCCCACCAATCTATAGCAGTGATTCTCATTTTCAAATCTTTGACTATTCCCAGGTTTTTGCCTTGGACTATTTGAATGTGGGGATGCCTTGGATTGTTTGAACGTGAGAGGCTCCAAATAATGGAGCCTTGTTGAAAAATCAAGTCATTATGATAGTGGTGACAATGGTTGACTCAGGAACAGGTAGAGACAGTGCACCTTCCCTGCTCTTTTTGTTATTCTTTGTTCCCCAGTTACTGCTTCCCCTGCCTGCAAGCACCCCTCTACAGTGGTTTGCCTGCCCCCTCTCCAAGCGGGTTGCTTTTCTAGCTCATAGGCAAATATTGACCTACTTTTTCTAATGCTGCCCCTTGAAACTCCTGCTGGGCTAGATAAACACACTAGGATAACAGCTCTTGAGAATAAGAGTTGCTTTTGGACAGGCTATAATGCAACTGACCCACTCACTGAGTCCTTGCAATGGTCAGCACTATGCCGGCCTCCCGGACCCCTGGGATGGTAGCAGATAAAGGAAAGGCACTGGGCCCTGCCCTCCCTCTGGGAGCTTGTGGCCCAATTGGGGAGATAGGTCTCATGTACTGGGAATGCTTCAAGGTCGTGTGCGAGACAGCTGCAAGGATCCTGAATGTAGATTCTTGCCTGAGTAGGAGGTGGCCCTCTGTAACCACCACATCCTTTCTCTTTCTGTGGTTTTAAGTGGAATTTAGTCATGTGTCAAAGCATCTGCAACAGACAATGGGCAATGTGGTCTGGTAGGAAAGAGTGCCAATGCTCTGTGGGGAGATGAGAAGACAAATGGGCTGTGAAGAACTATGCTGGGAGGAGGAAGTTGCTGTGGTTTTTTAACCCGTTTGTATTCGTCCCCCTGACTTGTCCCGGGACCTGCTCCTGGACCTCCAGCTCTCCCTAGGACCTTGCCTCAGGTCTCTCGGTTGCATACATCCAAAGCCCAGTTTCTTTCTTGCTTGTGACCAATGCTTTTTTCTTCTCCCCTGTCCTCAACCTCCCCCAGCCTGGACTCTGCACCTCCCTTCCCAGTCCTCTGAAACCAGCTGGGTTCTTTTGCCCAGTGAGGCTGCTGCCCACGCTGGGAGATCCAAGACTTGGTCTCATCTGTGTGAGCTGGACCCCAGTGAAGATCCTGGTTAGCTGAAAGATTGGAGGTTGGAGGCCAGGAAGTCTGAGGTTCCAGGCAGGGAATCAACTTCAATCATTGATGCCAAGCAGGTCAGGCCAGGAGGCAGAACTGGCCTGACCAGTCAGAGGCCCAAGGAGGGAGATCTGATCTTCTCAGCTTGTGCCTGTGTGTATATCTGTGGGTTAGGCAGAGGCTATGATGTGTGGTGGTCCAAAATCACTTTTATAACTGTGGGGTGGATATCCTCCCTGTCTGGCCTCTAGGCAAGTAGCTTGCTTTCTTATTCTTTACTATGGGAAGTCATAGGGCAGGTGCTCATTGGTTAAAGGCCATCCTAGAACAGGGAGCAAAGTGTCTGCTTTGTGGGAGGTGGGGTCCTGGGACATTCCCATCCTGGGGCACCTTAGAGGAAGATGAGATGCTGGAAGCCAAGGCTGACCTGGGACGTGCCTTGATGGGCAAGAGGAGGTGCCTGTGAGACAAAAGGTGAGCCATACACACTCAGGAGGGTGTCCCTTCACTCCACACATATATCCTCACATGAAAGATGTTTCCCCTACTCATACACTGTACACACACAGTGGGGGCATCTCAGGACCAGATGAAGGCCAGGTATGGGCCTCATTCAGCCCTGACCTTGGGCTTGGTGCCCAGGCAGGGAAAGAATTGGAGCGGTGCCAGCGGCAGGCGGATGAGGTGACGGAAATCATGCTCAACAACTTTGACAAGGTCTTGGAGCGCGATGGGAAACTGGCAGAGCTGGAGCAGCGTTCAGACCAACTCCTGGACATGGTGTGAGGCCTGGGGAAGCAGGGAGGGGGTGGGAGAGGCTAGGAGAAGCCCTCAGAGGGAGCTCTCAGGCTATGTTCAGGGCCTCCAGGCCCTTGGTGGCACCTGAGCCTCCTGTGAGGGGCAGTGTGGGTTCCTTGAGGCTCCCCTAGTCTAGATATGCAATGATAGGCTTCATGAAGCAAGAAGTCCTTGGTTCGAAGCTGGGCTTGGTCTTGGTGCCCAGGACCCCCATAAAGGTAGAGGACTGGCATTGTTAACTGCAGGTCAAGGGCTACACCAGTGTCTGAGACCAGGGGTCAGTCTGGGAGGGTCCCAGGGCCAGCTGCGTGGAGAAAGGGAACCGACAGGATGAAAAGGATTCAGGAAGAGACCACGCCTTACTGGGGCAGGGTTGGGAGGAGCTGGCTCCTGGGCTTCGGGAGAACCACTAACTCCCATCCTGTGTCTCGGGGCATCCACAGAGCTCAGCCTTCAGCAAGACAACCAAGACCTTGGCCCAGAAGAAGCGCTGGGAGAACATCCGTTGGCGGATCTACTTGGGGCTGGTGGTGGGAGGTGGCCTGCTCATCCTCCTGATTGTGCTGCTGGTCATCTTTCTCCCACAGAGAAGCGAGGGCAGCAGTGGTCCACAGGCCCAGAACATGGGGCCTGGGG